GCCGGGCTGCGCGCACACTCGCGCGCGCGCACCCGGGGCTCCACCTGCCTGTCGCGGCCCGCGGGCAGCGCTCCGGGGCTGCGGCGCGGCCGCCTCGGCTGCCTCGGCCGCCTGGGCCTCGGAGGAGGAAACGGAAGCTCAGACCGCCCGGGCCGCTCCGAGCTTCGGGCCGGCCGCCGCGCGCTCCCGGTCTGCCGCTCCCCGGAGGCCGCGGAGGGCACAACAAAGGCCCCCCCGGGCGGCCTGCTCGGGGGCCCGGTTCTGCCTTTGCTTTGTTTGCTTTGGGTTTTTCTGCGGTCCGTAAACTCTGAGATTTCTCCCGGTTCCGGTTCGAGACCTCCCGGGTTAAGTAAGGTAATCAGGGCTGGGTTCCAGATCCACATTGAGGCCTGCAGCTCTCAAAGGCGTGTTACAGGAACGACTGTGTACGTGGTGCTAAGATCTCGCTGTAGAACCTGCAGTAGCATCTGCAGTAGAATTACGAGGGTCAACACGGTCTTTGTTGTCTTCAGATTCCGTCCCGGAGTCAGCGTCGACTCCTGCCTTGTGTGCACGCTGGCAAGGTAGTTAGCGTGAGCCCCCTTTGCCACCTCAGAACCTTGGTTTTGTTTGTTTACAGTGTTGGGAATTGAGACGAACACACTAGCTCGAGTTTGTTTTTATGAAACCTTAAAACCTCACAGAGCCTGGCATGATGGTAAACGCCTCAGAGGTAGGAGGATCACTGTGAGGCCGGCCTGGGCTAACAAAGTGAGTCCGGGATAGAGAGACCCTGTCTCAAACACACATACACACACACACCTATGGAGGCTGAAAAGGAGGAAGCAAGAGCTCTGCAAGTTCAGGACCAACCTGCCCTACCCAGTGAGTTCTGGGCCCCAGGGTTCAAAGTTTGGCACAGCCACCAAAACAGTCCCCAGGACCCCAGAGGCACAAGCGTTTATCACAAAATACTTGGCACATATTTGAGTGTAGCCATTGACACAAATAACCTGTAGTTTGAATTGGATGGTGGGAGAACACAGAAGCAGGAGTTGTCAGCTTTGCCCTTTGAATAAAATTATTGCGAGCAAAGCAACTCAGGAATGCTTAGAAATGTGAAGGAGGCGTTTCACGACCTGCAAACATCAACCTTCAGAATATTTCTGAAGCCAGACATGATGGTGCTTCCCTGTAATCCCAGCACTCTGGAGGCAGAGGCAGGAAGATATATTCGAATTCAAGGACAGCCAGGGCCACACAGAGAAACCTTGTCTCAAAAACAAACAAAAAATGAAGCTGGACTTGGTCAGTGGCACAAATACGTAATGCCAGCACTTGGCAGATGGAGGCTACGCAGAGGACCTCCTGGCAAAAAAGCCATTTTGAGTTAGGGTGGTAGGGTGGTAGAGCACTCCCTTGGTGTGTGTACTACTTTTTAAAATTTGTGAATTAATGTAAACACAAGACGGGGTCTCGGAATGGGGCTCTTCTGGCCCCAAGACTGCCCTTCCCACTCAAAATAATCAGATACAAGTGGAACCAAACACTTCTTGGGCCTCCTTTGCCGAAGCAGGTATATATTTTCCTAACCGCATAAGAGTAGGAACTGAGCTGGGCGTGATGGCACACATCTGTCATCCCAGCACTCAGGGAGGCAGAGGCAGGCGGATCTCTGTGAGTTCCAGGCCAGCCTGGTCTACAAAGAGAGTCCAGGACAGCCAGGCTACACAGAGAAACCCTGTCTGAAAAGAGAGAGAAAGTGGGAACTGTTCTTACCAGGCAGCAACAAACTTGGGGAATAAGTTTTAAGACTTCTACACAGAGTACTTACTTGTAGGTATTAAAATTGCCCCCATAGCACAACAATTTAAATTTGTATCACAGCTTATCCGTCTAGTTGCGTATGTGTACATATGTGGGCGTGTGCAATCCACACTGCATGTCCGGACGTCAGGGGATGACGTTTAGAAGTGCGTTCTCTCATGGGTTTCTTGGATCATAATCAAGTTTTCCATCATGGCTGTAAGTACCTTTTCCCATTGAGCCACTGGTCCCTGAAGATTTTTTTTTTAGGTCCCTGATATGTCAGTTTTTTACCTCTCTCTTGTTTTTTGTTTTTGTTGTCTGTCTGTTTGTTTTTTTAAACTGAATTCTACTTAAAGGTGTCAGATTCCATATCTTATACACGATCCATCAAGGCTTAATGTGTGGTGGCACTGCCCCGAAATGCCAACACTTACCTCAGAAGACAAACAGCCCAGAAAGAAGTTGGTTAACTTTTCTGTTGAAATCAGCATATAGAATCACAAATCAAACATATGGTACTAGAAAGTCAAGTATGGAATATCTGGTTCAAATATCTCCAAAGGTCCCCAACTGTCGACTTTCTGCATTGGGAGTTTAGGCACTGATCTTCGCCCGGAGGGAGAGGTCTTGCTGAGCATGCCAGAGGTTGAGTTACACAGAGGAGAGTCTGGGTTTCCGTCACCATGGTAGCAGGCAACCTAGCACTGTCTTAATGTCAAGCTAGGAAGTAGGCATTGTTACCAGGCCCAGTGAGCAGGCAAGAGGGAGACTGGGAGAGTCTCTGATTTTCAGGGGATGCTCACCCCAGCCCAGCCAAAAGCACCATGATGGAACCTAAAGAAAGAATTACCGGAAGTGCTCCTTTCTCGGCTCTGTGTGACAACCTGGGCCACGGCTGACTGGCTTCCTGAGTGACCACCTCTGTCCTTTGTGGGTGTGCAGTAAGAAGCAGTTGCTCCTGAGAGCCGGCGGGAGACTCAAAGGCAGACCAGGTTGAGAATGAGCTTCATGAAGAGTTAAACCAGGAAGTGATAATGGCACACACCTGCCACCCCAGCTACGTGGAGTTCTGTGGCAGGAGGACTCAAAGTTTCCTTGTTGTTTACAGAGTATGCCTGGACTACAGAGCAAGTTCAAGGTCAGCCTAGATAAGTTAGTGAGACTCAAAATCTCAAAAGTAATAAGTAAAAAGATTTGGCCATGCAGGTTGATGGCAGTCTTCATGACATGCAGTCTCTTTGTAGCCCAGGCTGGTCTCATCCAGGCTCCTCCTGCCTTACCCTGCATTCCTCAGCACCCTCTTCACACACACACACACACACACACACACACACACACACACACACACATACACACACACGGGAGGAAACGACTCTAGCTCTTCAGGAAGCCCATGAAGAGGACTTGCCTTTGAGAAAAGTTCAGTTTGTTAAAATGCGAAATTTGCCCTAAATCCTGAAAAATCTTTAAGCATTCCTACCTTGGAGTCTTCTGCTCAAGGAGCAGAATGCCTGATTGTGGCTAAAACCTCTGGCTTTCCCACGTGACCATTTTGTTTGAATGTGATGCGGAGGGCCGGTATACCATAGGCATTTCACCAAGATAAACAGGAAGGCAGTCCGTGTGTTCTGGGGAAAGGGCCTGGAAACCGGAGCCATTTTCCAGCTCTGGTTTGGGGACACACTCATGGGTGTGGCTGGGAGTAGCACCTGCTGTCCATGAAAGGGCTCTGCTTCCTTCCCGCCAAGCCTGTCTCCAGTGAAAATAAGTTATCTAGTGAGACTTCATGTCCAGGAACGTGCACTGGTGATGAGCCCTAACAGCTTGGTTTTTAAAGTTGCCAAGAAGTTTAAAAAAAAAAAAATCATCTTTCATAAAAAAAATTTTTTTGGTGGCTGGAGAGATGACTCAGTGGTTAGGAGCACTGTTGGTTCTTCCAAAGGACCCAGGTTCAATTCCCAGCACCCATATGGTAGCTCATGACTGTCTGTAACTCCAGTTCCAAGGGATTTGACACCTTCACACTAATGCACATAAAATAAAATTAAATAATTTATTTTTTTTCTTTTAAGAAAACATTTTTCTGCCAGGCATAGTGGCACACACCTTTAATTCCAACAATCAGGAGGTAGAGCCGGGCAGATCTCTGAAAGTTTGAGGCCAGCCTGAGCTATATAGTGAGTTCTAGGTATAGCCAGGGCTATGTCAAAAGACTCATTTTTTTTTTTTTCTTAATTTTGAGTGTGTGTGTGTGTATTGTTCCATTACATGAGTTCCAAGGCTTCAGCTCAGGTTTTCAGGTTTGGTGGCAAGAGCCTTCATCCACTGAGCCCTTTTGCTGGGCTTGGTAATTATCTTTTTTTTTTTTTCTTTCTCTCTTTCTTTGAGTTAGTGCTGTGTAGCCCAGGCTGGCCGCAGCTTTGCTGCATGCTCAAGAATACCCATAAACTTCTTAGCCTCCTGTCTCCACAGCCCCCCAGCCAGATGAGCAGTGTGGGGCACCAAGGCCGGCTCACTCAACACTGAGACTAGAGCCCAGGGCTGCAGGCACGCTGACTGGGTAAGCTCTCCACCCACCGAGGCACTTCCCCAGACCTGGAAATGTCGCTGTGTTGTTTGAGACAGACCTCACTGTGAAGCCCAGCGTGGCCTTCACACTGGCAGTGATGCTCCTTCCTCAGCCTTCAGGGTGACAGGTGTGTGTCTCACACCCTGAAGAGGCATCTTGAGAGGCGGGACAGCAAGCCTGCTCCTCTGCTGCTAACTGCTGGGAATGGATCCTCAGGAGAGGAATGCCTGACTGGCCTCCAGGTCTCCCCCAAACGGTCCGGTGACCCCTTTTCACAGGGGTGGCATAGATCTCCTGCAAATCAGATTTTTACATTATGATTCATAACACAAGAAAAGAAAAAAACAAAAATAGCAAACTTCGAAACAGCAAAATTATAGTTATAATGTAGCAACAAAAATAGTTCTGTGGCTGGAACTGTCCCGGTATTAGGAAGGTGGGGACCACGTCGTCCGACATGCACACGATGTATTACATATCGGTTACATGCGACGTGCATTTTAAGGGTTGTCTTTGTCTTTTGAGACAGGGTTCCCACATGCGCTAGTAGTCCTGGAACCCTCGGAGATCCACCTGCCTCTGCCCCTGAGTGCTGGGATTAAAGGCGTAGGCAACTATAGCCAGCTTTTTTGTTGTTTTTTATTTTTTAGGATTCTGTTTGAATTTTTATGTGTGTGTGTGTGTGTGTGTGGCTTATGGTTGTGCGCGTGAGATGAGGCACACATGCACCATGGTGCTGCCCAGCCTTGAGGACAGCTGCCGGCTCTCCTGTCTGTGCCCAGGTCATCACGCTGGTCTCAGGGTTTTGTTTTGTCAGTGTTTTGAAATACGGTCTCCTGTGCACAGGCTGGAATCAAACTCACCACATGGCTGAAGATAACCTTGAACTCCTGACCTTTCTGCCTTTACCTCCCAAGTACTGGGGCGATAGACATATGCTTGTCCTTACATAGTCTGGTCTAGGTAGCAAGTTCTAGGCCAGCCAAATCTACATAGTGAGACTTTCCTCAAAATAATAATGATGGT